CATGGTTAATAGGTGCTTCTTATGTAAAAGGCAGACAAAATCTTGCAACCACATTCTTCTTTGGTGCCTTACGGTTTATAGTATTTGGTCAATGGTGTATAACCTTTTGGGTATCAATTGGGTTATAGCGGGGTCGATTAGGGAAGAGTTGTGTGCATGAGCGGAGTTATGTAAAAAGAATCTTATTTATTTTTAATACCTCTATCTATCTTTTGGATTGTTTGAAAGGAGAGAAATGTTAGAGGTTTTGAGGGTATTGAAAGGGAAATGACCAATACTAGAGATAGATAGTTGCATGTTTTTGGTTCTATGATCTTGGATCATGACATTAATAGGACGGAAGATTTTGAAAATGTCATTGATCACTTAATTGATTTGTAAATATTTTTGTATATGGACGGTACTCCTTTGGTATCATTGTGAATGATACTTCTCTATACTTTTATATAAAAAAATGTTCGATATCTTGCATTTTTGTTTAGAGGTCATCCTCTTTTTTCTGATGAGGACTTGCAGACTCGATTGGTGCATTATTTATATAATTTATACCTCCTTCTAGAAAAAGAAGATTAGATTGGTATTCTACTTAGACTAGTAATATATATTGCTTTTTAATGATAGATTACTCATATATTTTGATTAGAATACTTTATTAATGTAATGCTTCCCTTTTAATTTAATTATTTATTTTAACCCTTTAGATAGTGTACTGGTGATTCTCATGGTTCTCTTGTAATGTTACTGTATTTATCAGTTTGCAGATGAAACCTTTGATGCTATTCTTGATAAAGGTGGATTGGATGCTTTGATGGAGCCCAAAATTGGTCCAAAGCTGGGAAATCAATATTTATCAGAGGTTCTTCAGCCTTTATCTGAGATTCTACTTTTTCTGATATATATGCTTATTGTTTGATATATATTCTTTGGAGGGGAAAATCCTTATTATTGGTAATTCGAGAAAGTGGAGGAATATTTCTTTTAGCGGCTGCTATTTTATGCAAGAGAATAGCTGAGACTTTGAACACCTGTTGTGGTGTCCTTTCTCTTTTCAGTTCTGGGCCCTGAATTTGGGTTCCTTGGCTGAGCTGGATGATTGGTAGCTTAGTTGCAGATGAGATATAGGATTGGCAAAGTATCCACGTTATAAGATGACAAATAAGCTTATCACTCTTATCTCCTTGGCTACCCTGTAGGTTATTTGGGGGTGCATGAATAAAAGAGCATTCGAGGGTATAGTTTTTCTTTTTTGGTAGAGTTAGGTATGTTTCGGATTCTTATGTTTCTTGTTTAAGTGTCAGCCAGTTAATTATGATGACAACCTAGCTGACCTAACTGCTATTTTGGACGAGCTGTAAATTCCCCTTTTGTATAAGAAAACAAAGTTGTATGCTTGTGTTAAGTAGAAAAGTGCAAATTCTTTTATTAGTTTCACATAAAGGGAATTTTCCTTCCAGGTGAAACGAGTGCTGAAGTCTGGGGGAAAGTTCATTTGTCTGACGTTGGCAGAATCTCATGTTCTAGGTACTTTTTATCCTAACTTTATTAAGTAGTTTGATCTATTAGATTTAGTTCGATGTTATTTTCTTTTACCTCATTTTAATACTTCTAAGAGGATATCAACTAGCAACTGTATGTGTATGCTGAATTTGGAAATCAATTGGCAAAGGAATGATTAACTGTTTTTGTTATTTGTAATTCTTTCATTTTATGTCTAATCTTTTGTTCCCCTTAAGGGGGGAACCCGGGAGGAGGAGCATTTTGGGAAGAGGTGGAAGAAAAAGTATCTAGACAATTGGAAAGTTGGAAAGGGAGATTGTTTCCATTAGGCGGGAGGGTTTCTCAGATTCAGGCATGTTTTCATTATATTATTTTCTTTTACCTCAATCTAATACCTCTAAGGGGATATTAACTAGCAACTATATGCATATGCTGAATTTGGATATGGATTAGCAAAGAAATGGTTGACTATTTATGTTACTTGTAATTCTATCATTTTATGTTTAATCTTTTGTTCCCCTTACGGGAAAACCTGCGAGGAGGAGCCTTTTGGGAAGAGATGGAGAAAAAAGTGGCTAAACAATCGGAAAGTTGGAAAGGGAGATCGTTTTCATTAGGTGGGAGGGTTGCTCTGATTCAGACATGTCTATCTAGCATTCCCATCTATTGTTTGTCTCTGTTCAGAATCCCTTGTGGGGTTGTTGGTTGATTAGAGGGTTAGGTGCATAGATATATGGGTTGGGACGGGAGAGGAAACTAGGGACCATCTTGTGAGTCCGGAGGTATGTTGTAAATCTGAGAGGTCAAGGGAGATTGAGCATTGGGAATCTTAGAACAAATAACCTATTTTACTGGCTAAATAGCTTACGGGTTTTCCTCGTGAACCAAATTCTTCGATAGCACGGGACGATCAATAGCATCCGCGACAATTCAAGGGGAGGGTGGGACATCATTACTGCGAGTTCCACTAGTCACCATGGTCCTTGAAAGTCCATCTCCTAGGTATAGCCGTTTTTTACTCCACTTAGTTCCATGTGGGGGATAGATCTAGAGTGTTGTATTGAGAAGATACTTGGGTGAGAGGTCAGCCATTGGCAACCAAATTCTCTAGACTACA